CATAAACATAGTTAGCCCTTGATGGGCGAGGTTTAAACTGCTCATCCCAACCTAACGATCTTTGCTTGTTTGTGAGTTTATTTCTAGAATGCCTGTCAGACCTGTAATGTTTCTTTCTGTGAGTTGGGTCTGAATGGTGATCAGAATCAATGGACCTAGTTTTGTTTGTTCGCTGCTGGCCTGTTTTATTTGTGACATACCTAGACTCGTATGCATGGCTATCTGACATCACTGGACTGTGCAGGGCATATCTAACAGTCCGTACAGGACTACCAACAGGATGAGCTCGTTTAGGTCTCGGCCTACTACTGTCTGAGCTATCTCCTCCTGAGACAGGACGCCAGCTATTTCCAGTGCTGCAATGTCTACGATTAGATTGTGAATGAGAGCTGCTGGATCCAGGACTCATACACTGAATAGGTCCTCTGTTTTGAGACTGAACGATGTAAGGAGACGGAGGGATATTGTAAGGGGGTGGATGAGCATGCTGTTGTCCAAACTGTGGCGGTGGCAATGGCGGCATGCCAAATGGGCGAGTCTGATTCACTGAGAAGATGTGTGGGTTCATTGACATGGAGGGAGGACACCCTCCAAAATCAAATGAGTAATGTTGTTGTTGTTGTTGCAGAGATGGTGTGACTGAATAACCAGTAGGATGACTAGGTAATGGAGGTAGGCTGCAGTGTACTGGATTCCAGGCTACGCCTGGGTTTGGTGGTCTTTGTCCTGCTTCACTGTTTTGACCAGGAGCATCTGATTGTAAAGAAGCTAAAAGATGCCTTGTCAATGGCCCTTCTGGTCTTTGCCGAACTGCATCTCCTTCTGGTTTAGTCTGGCGAGGCAGTGTGTTGCTGCTGCGTGGCTGTACTGGGGTAAATGCACTAGGATGAACTCCTGACCCAAGTGATCCAGCACTTGGTGATCGCTGATGCTGAGGTAGATTGATATTCAGCCCACTTGGTGGGGCTTCTGCAGTGTCTGCACCTAGACTCTGACCCATATCTGGAGTAGCCATTCTAAAACCCATGACTTTATTATTGCTTTCCATTGAGGTACCCCCAAATGATGAACCAAGAAAATTCTGTGTATTGGTCTGATAGTTACTGATATGAACTGGAATTTCTTTGGAACCAGAAAATGATCTCTTTTTATCTTTAGTCTGTATCTGAATTTCAATGCTGAGTTGTGTGTTGGCATCACTGCTTGTGTCATGACTTAATCTGTGCCTATCCAGCTCCACAGCTGAATTATTGTCAGTTAAACTGCTGTTCAAATCTCTGTTGACATCCTTGTTCATGATTTTGCTATGGTGTCTATTCTTCTGCCAAAACTTCCTAGCAGCACCATTTTGCCGAGGGTTATAAAAATTAGGAAAACTTTCTGGTGCAGGGGTAAATGAAGTCTCTGGAGAGTTGGGTATGATAAAGTTGACGTTGGATAATTTGTTGTTACTATTATTTTTCATGTTATAAGCTTTTGTTATGTTGGACGATTTTTGTGAGTAAACTGACAGATTGGAGTTGCTGTTTGACTTCACAACACTGCCATTGATCTGAGGCTGAGGCGATGCGGAGGGTTCCAAGGCTACCTCTGTAACTTCCATGGGGGCAGTGTATGTTTTTGGAGTGGCACACCCACCTGCATGTTTCCAGCTGAGCCAAGAGTCCCTGCGGGTGATGCAAAAATAACAGAGCATAAATAAGCCAAAAGAGGAGCTCATGAAGCCGTATATATAGCTGAAGATGATCCCCTGATGTGGTATGATGAGGTGAAATGGCTTAGCTATTGCTAATGCGCCACACATCCACATAACTATGAATAAGAAGAGAATGACCACTAGAGATCTCAGCTGAGTCAGAGGCCTCCGCTCTTGGTCTGGGATACTTTTAACTGATACAGAGTCCTCCTCGTCATCCTCATCACTGGCCCTGCTGTACCTCCTGCGATAGTCGGTACCCAAGTTGCGACTGCCACTGTTGTTGTTGTTATTGCTGTTGTTGTTGTTTTCAGAGTTGATATGTGTGGTTGTTGTGTTTGTGTCAGGCTGTGATGGCACAAGTTCAATTTCGTTGGTGTGAATTTCATTGTCACTTTCATTGCCTGCTTCACTCTCAATCTCAGAGACAGTTCTGACGACACAAGAGATACGCATGAACAGCACCAGGTTCCAAGCCACAAGCAGGGCAACTGGTGCATAAAAGGCACCAAGACTGGGCTCCCACTCAAGAAAGCAGCTGAGGATGAAATGTAGAAATAAAATGTGAACACACATGACAAAGTCAATCTGAGTACACATTTGAAAAACAATTTCACGCATAACAACATAATAGAAACAGATAAAACAGATGTTCAAGATGCTCAAGTTTGGATTTAAGTGTTGCACCAGCAAAGATCATCATCATCATCATCAGGTGCCTTGCCGACTGGCGTGGGCGATCATGCCTCTCCATAATCCGCGATCTCCTGCAGCATTTATCAGTTCGTGTGCCGACACACCTCCATGCCATGCAACAAGACTGTCAAGCATCTTCTCTCTTTGTCTTCCTCTATCCCTCCTTCCACAGATCTTTCCAGTGGTCACAACATGTTCTATTTTCCCTCTTCTCATAACATGGCCGAAAAATGATGACTGTCTCCTTCGGATGTCAGTGATAAGTTGTCAAAGATAGCAGCAAAGATAGTTGAATGAAAGGATGAACATGACATACTGTGTAGCCAGTGTTACTAGTTTACAGTTTCTGGTAGAGACTAAGCATCGGTGAGGTTGACTGAAATTCTAAAAAAAAAAAAAGGTATCTGAAGGGGATCGAATTTACTTCAGTACACTGTGTTTAATTCAAGCTGACAGTCTCTCCCAGAAAGTGACTAGATGTCTATCATGAGCATTGCACAAACACTGTAGCTCAAGATATGCCCCCAGGGGCCTAAAAAAGTACAATCTGACAATGAACTCAAGATCTTCAGAATATGAGGCAAAAAGCTTGCCTACGGAGATTCCCCACAACTCTTTTACAACCAATCCATTTATGGATATGTGATGTGACCATTCTCACCTCTTTGTTACAGTAAAGAAAAGATTCCTTTTCACGCCTTTAGGCACATCAGGCATATGGGAAAAGCACCCACATTTTTACAGACCAATCGGTACATGGTGGGTAATATGGTCAGCACTACGCCATCCATCTTTACTTCCCCAGGACATCCTGATACCCTTTTAGGCTGGGTCTACCTTCGACGCCCCATACCATGATAATAATCCATGCAGCCAGCAGTGGGTTTCGATCGCGGTACGCTGGAATTACGAGTTGGACTTGCAAAGCCTAAGCCACGGATGCCGCACCTCCTTGTTATGCCTTCCTTATAAAAAAAAGTACCTTAATAAAACACAGACTTCTGCTGTGCATGCTCCCGATGTGGAGTTCTTCTTATCGTACATGGTTAGTCCATAAGGCAACCAGGAAAGGCTGGTGACGATCGGGACAGACCTTTTGACGCTCACTTTTCACTTTGGTTGTGAAGGTAGACGGCTAATTTGCTACGGCAGTAACAATACATAACACCAAACCTCACGGTGCCTGTTGCAAAGCCACCATTTCATCTTGTCCGATGTCCGAAAAGCCCGGTAGGAGAGCCCAAGGCCTGGGAGTCATGACCCAGGTCGGCCCACCCTCTGAAATTGTCTAGGATAATAATGGGCCGAAACGACTGTCGACGAGGGACCCTTTTACTGATGATCGGTAAACTCTGCTGTGCATGTTCCCGATGTTGAGTTCTTATATAGGATTATTGACTGTTATTTCTGTTAATTTCCTACCACAATGTTGACAAAAACCCAAAAGAAATCATCATCATCATTATCAAGTGTCTTGCAAATAGGTGTGAGTGATTATGCCACTCCACAAACTGCATTCTTCAACAAAATGTATTGGTTCATGTGTTGACACCCCTCGATGCCATGACAAAAGGTTTTCAAGACTCTTCTTATCTAACTTTATATTTTATTCCAAAGATCTTTCCAGTGGTCATAACAGGTTCCAGTTTCTTCCTTCTCATTAAGTAGAATTTTTTAAAATTTTATTTAAATAACAAATAGATGACTGTCTCTTTCTAATGTCTGTGACAAGTTGCCTTTGGGTTTTTGGCTCTTTCAAGACATCGGGATTGTTTTTATTGATGTCCAATGAATTTTTAGGATTTTTCTGTTATTGTAGCTTGTTTGTGTTCACAAGCTGTAAACCCCGGCAGAAAGTCCTGGTTGTTTGTCCACTTCTAGGCTTTGGCTCTGTTCAAGGACCTGAGTTTTGCATGTGCACCCTTTTACAGATCTGGCCTAATTGTAGACTGTTGGTTGTTCTGAGGCAGATGCACTCCGACTCTGAAGGAATCCCTTAATTAGTCGTTTTCTACAACATGCTTGTTAAAGAGGCAGTGGGTATATTCTTTCTTGTCTCCACCCCCCCCCCCCCACAATGGGGACCCGGAACCCACTTGGGTTGGGGGGGGGGGGGGGTCTTTTCTGTGAAACCACATCTCTAAGGCCTTAAAATATTGCTTGACGTGTTTGTTAACTGTCCATGATTCACAGCTATATATTAAAATCTTCTCTAAAGCTATTTACTTCTCATAGGAAATAAACATATATGATACATATTTTAGTCGGCATCTGTGGCTTAGGCACTGCAAACGCGCTTCATAATGCCAGGGTGCCGGGTTCGATCCCAGCCGTGGGCCTTGTGCCTTGCACCGGTTTCGACAGTGGTATCGAGAAGCCAACCGTCCAGAAAGCAATGGCAAACTACTGGATGTAAATTTGCCTAGAAAAACCACAACAGCCAAAAAAATGCTGAGGTTGGTTGTGCAATGTCCTGTAAAGGATAAGTATTTTAATGAAAATATTCTTGACTTCAGTTTTCCAGTGCAGATCCACGAAGAAATAAACACAGGAAGCAAACATTGAAATCACAAAAGATAACATCTAGGCACAGAAAGGATACACTTACTACTCCAAACCAGCATAAAAGTTGAGATTAACAGCTGCAGTTATCCCACAGATGATGACTGGAACTCCATAACCCACAAAGTAAAACTGAAGGATTGGCTTGGGTGGCAATGGCATGGGCATCTCTGGTGGGGGCTCCGGGGGCTTGCTGGCTTTGACAAACTTTTTGTAACTGATGCTGTAAAGTAGGGAATGATGGATTGCAATTAGTTATCAGTTTTTTTAATTATTGATTGTTGTTGTTATCGATCCAGCGGCACATGAGCTTTTGCCCTCTGGCCCAATGCCATGTAGTGGAATTTGCATGTTTTCACAAGCTGTTCTTTTCCTCTGCACAAGGTGTTCCACTTGTCTGGTCTCAGAGGGAGTAGCATTCTCTATTCTTGCCAAGTTTTTTATATTTTTTGTTATATTGATCAATTAAACATTCTCTCCAGGTTATGCCGGTATGTTGGGAAATGAACAGGCAGACAGACTGGCCAGTTCTGCACCACTTGGTGGTGAACTGATATATGACAAGCTAGATGTTGTGAGGGCCCTCTGGGAGGAAGTGAACAGTGCGGAAGCACAAACAGATCCTTACGGTCTGAGGAGAATAGCGCTGCGAGAAGTTGCCAGTGAATCTGGCCGATGCTTAACACTCAAGGGGAATACGAGACGGATATACAGTCAGAGAGTTACTGGTGCCATCGGAATTGAAACTCTTCGTTTGCTGCTGAAGACGGGATCGGAGCACTTATGGGAGTGTCCCGAATGCTACGATGTTGATTCAAGAAAACTGTTCCTTCTGCATATATCTTTATGTGGATGTTTTATAAAGAATTACACATGAAGTAACCAATCTCGACAAACTTTTATTACGGATGCTGTAAAGTGGGAGCTGATGGCTTTGAATCTGAGTAAAATGTTTTGAACTGAAAAAGACCATCCCTTCTGTAGATATCTGTATGTGGCTGCTTCATAAAGAATTAAATATGATTTTGTCATTTTTTGTTTGCTCAAACTACTCTGTAACAGATGCTATCAAGTGTGGGACTGTGGATTAGAATTAAGAGTAAAACGTTTTTTAATTGAACAAGATTGTCCCTTCTGTCAACATCTTTATGTGGTTATTTTTTAATGAATTACACATGATGTAGCCAATACACTGAACCCTTTCAGTCCCGACCAGTTGTTTCTTTAATCCCTTCTATCCCAAGGGTAGATAGAGCTTTGAAGCAATCGATGCTTAGGTCTGAAGGTATTGAACAGCGACACTATGGGACACAACTGATTAAACTAATAATTCAGATATAAAAGTTACTATAACATCTGTCTTTAATTTACATCAACAAAGACATCATGTTATTTGTGTAATGACTAACAAATGTGGTTAGTTGTTTGGCACTGAAAGAGAAATCTTAAATAAAACAATAATTGAAGGGGAAAAATAGTTAATAGACAGAAGCAATAAAGAAATACCTCCAATGAAAGAGTTTATGTTCAACTGTTGAGCATTTAAAAAAAAATAATTAATTGTCAAGCAGATGTGCAGCAATTATTTCACCTGTGGCATGTCTATTCCTATGAGACTGCTTTCTTGTTATATTTAAAATCCTTAGTTAAGCTACATTCCTCTAAAGCTTTGTCCACTTTGAAGAGCCAGGTAAGCTTGCATTTCTCAACGATCTTAAGTACCATGTTAGCAGTAGCATAGCTACCAGCAGAGCCTTCCAAGCTGGTCGTCAAAGGGTAGAAAACAGACAAAGAGAGACACCTCAGTCTTCTAGTTTGGGGGTTGAAGCATGTGGATCTTAAGTACCATGTTAGCAGTAGCATAGCTACCAGCAGAGCCTTCTCGTCAAAGGGTAGAAAACAGACAAAGAGAGACACCTCAGTCTTCTAGTCTGGGGGTTGAAGCACGTGGCTGAGCATTGTATTAGCTCATGTTTGTCCTGAAACAGATATTTAAGCCTCAAATTTGGATATGGAGGCGAGTTATGTCTGCAGCAATGAACTTCAAGGGCTCAGAATGTTGAAGAAGTTCCGATTTTACATTCTTTATCCACCTACATAACAGCTCACGATGTCAGCAATGACTAAACTTCTTGACCAAGAACTGCAGGATGCAGAAAGGCTGCAGAAAATAAGCACCCAAGTTTTGCACTCACCACTTGAAGAGTCGACAATCATGCTTGAAATCAGTGTTTCCATTATATTTTAATAGTTTCTTTTCTTTGTTGCAATGTTTATCTTTCATAAACTTCTCATGTTCTCTCTCTCTCTCTCCTCTCTCTAACTCTATCTCTCTTTAGTTAGGCTCCCTATGCCCAACATTTTCATATCTCACTTGCAGGTATCTTTTAATAACTGCAGACAGGTTACAAGCTGAGCACTGAGAGGAATCAGGCTAAATACATTTTATGGCAACAAAAGTCAGGAAATCCCCTCCTCTAACTGTGGAAGACTTTTTTTTGGGGTAAAAACATGAGTGGGTCTTGCTAGTCACATTCAATATCTCCATGGGCTGTGAATTCAATGCCTCCCTAAAGCACAAATTGACACTCAAATTTGCTGTTACAAATGCGATGAAAGCTGATTAGATCTTTTCTTCTTCTTTGTTCACCGGTTGTAAACTCTGGCAGAAAGACTTGGTTGTTTGTCCACTTGGACTCGGGCTTTGTGCCAGGGCCTGAGTTCTGCATGTACATCCGTTTTACTGGCTTATCTGTGTGCAGTTGGTTGTTCCTTGCTGCTCGGGCAGAGGCATGCTGACTTCAAAGGAAGTCCCCAATTAGTCGACTCCTACGACATGGTTGCTGGGAAGGCAGTGGGTCTATTCTTGTTGTTCCCACAATGGGGTCCCGTAGCCCAAACAGGGAATTATATCTTTTGAATATACTCATTTGGCTTACAGATAAAAAAGATCACATATAATCATATAATACTACAGTTGTCAAATCATTAACAGATTCTTTTTCAGACATACATTATACAAAATATTTTTACAAAACACAATTAAATATAAAGAAAATATTAAGAAAAAATTCAATAATTTATGTAATATTTTAGTAAAACACAATCAAATATAAAGATATTAGAGAGAGAAAAAAAAGTAAAAAATTGACGTACTTTGATGTAATTGTGATCCAAAAGACTGCACACAGTGTGAGATAGTGTATGCACATGCCAGCAATCTGACACACCAACTCAGTGCCTGTTCGGTTGATGCCAAGTATCAATGCAATCATCAGGAACACAGTGCTGAAGCACAAATTCACAACTGCATGCTTAATTTTCTTGGGAATTCCTATGGAACTGTATTGAAAAAAAATATATACAGATATATGCGCATTGTGCATAAACACATTCTTATGCACCCATAAATACACAAATATAAACATAAAGAGACGATGGATTACATTCAAGGCTTAGAATAAAAAATAACTATAAAAAAATAAAGTAGTACTATTCTCAAGCCAATATTTTTAAAAATACAATCAATGGAGAGTCATTTCAGGAAAAAGTCGATAGCTGTTGTAGGAAAGAAAACTGTTGACCTTTTTCCACAAATTTGTATTCTTATAAACTGTTCTAGGACATCTAAGAACATGAATACATGCCAGATCTTAGATCTAAACTAACTTAACTAAACTTAAGTAAAGAGTGATTCAATTTTAAGTATATCTGTAATTTTCTGTTCAAGGTGTCTCCTTCGTGCCAAAGAACTGCATGGCTGTTGGGTGAGCAGTCGTTAACGAAGGCAGTCAGGTCTCTGTAGGGGCGACGCCTGCTGGTGGATGTAATGTCCTAAGTCCCTTCCCCAGCTAATAGTGAGGGTACTGCTGGGGTGACCACTTATTAACCCTCATATAATGCTTCAGGTCAAAATGGACACTAGGCACGGCCACTTTTTTTTTAGCCGTGGCAAATGTTTGTTGTTGTTGTTGTTGTTGCTTCTGCCAGATGATGGCCGTTGCATTTTTGCTCTATTTGTAGACTGGAAGGATATAGTTTGATCGCCCAGCTTCTGAGCTGAGTGCATGTCATGACACTGTGAGCTACGTGTGATTTCCGTTGGCACAGGAGCGGAGCAACTATGGGGTGACCCATTTGCTATGAAGTTGAAACTAGGATTACCAGATTTTCTGTATTGTGCAAGAACATGAACAAAGAATTATCAATATGAGGAACGAAATGTTATAGAGATAAACAGCATTAATATCCTGAAAGAAGATGAAAACAAAACAAAAAAGTTAGAACTGGAAAAAATATATATAAAGGATATAGGAGATGCTGGAGGGGAAATTGGTGTTCAAATGTGCAAGAGGAAAAAGCTGAATGAGTGGGCGGATAAAATCAGAGACAGGAAGCCAAAACAAAATGTGTACATGGTGAAGATATAACAAACGCTGCTTAAAAGTTACTGTGGCCAACGATCAATGTACGTCCTACCCTCATCCGTCCCCCCTACGCGAACATGCACACAGAGAGAGAGATAGAGAGAGAGAGAGAGAGAGAGAGAGAGAGAGAGAGAGAGAGAGAGAGAGAGAGCAAGAGAGAGAGGGAGGGAGGGAGGGAGGGAGGGAGGGAGGGAGAGAGAGAGAGAGAGGAGAGAGATAGAGACGGGGTGGGGAGGTATCCTGGTGAAGGAAAAATCTGGCCAGTGAAGCGAGGACCAACTACTGTTTCCATTGTGATGATGCTTGCCAAAGACTCTGCCAACCTGGATGTTCTGTTCTGAAAACTATGCATGAGACTGTAAGAAAGTTGTCACTTGAAAGACGCACACTCTCAAAATGTTTACTTTAACTAGCTTGCAGGTGCGGCCTTAAGTCTTCAGGCTCAAAGACACACACAAACTCCACCCCCCCCCCCCCCACACACACCAATCAACTGCAAATGTAAATACTGACAGTAAAGGCAGTTTTTATGTTTCCAGGTGCTGTGCTACAGGTTCATCCTGCTGTTTAGTCTCTGCATTGCCAAAGTGTCATATTCTCTCTGTCACAACTACACAACTAAAATCTATCAAAAAAAGGCTTACCTGAAACAAGCGGTGAATGTGATGATGACAACAAGCAAACACAATATGCACAGTCCACTGCCAACATAAATGACAGGTTCCATCGCAAATGATGCCAGTCTGTACACATATGACATGTCCTAAAAATAAACAAACCCCACGAATCCCTTCAG